TAGTCACGAAAGATGTTGGAATTTCACTATTCTTTCACTGTTTTTGTTTTTGCTAACAATAAACTGTGTAATACCCATTGAAGGTTATGTAGGACAGTAAAGTTAAAAATATTATTAATTACGCAATAATCCATGTCTACCTTGTATAAATATTGTAATCGTGGATTTTTGGGGGTTATCTTTGTAATCTACTCTATTAATGTATATGTAATGTAATTTATGTAAACTGTATGTGTACTAGTAAATATGCATCAGAATAATGTAGGAAATGATTTGATGGTATACACTTACAAAAAAAAACTTAGGCCTGTATACCTGCACTTGTAGAAATAGTTATTACCGTATTATTACGTATTATTATTAACAACGATACTCGGCAGTCAATTCCCGTAGAGTTCAACGCCGCAGTTATCATAAAAAACGGTAAGCTATGTGATCTTTTGCTAAGCGGTAACTCAACAATATTTCTAATTTTGCTTTTCTTAGTTCTTATTGTCTTCTGAAGTGCTGAATGACTGACACAGGTTTTTTTTTAAGTATAATAATAGTATAAATACAGGTACAATATGTTAATACAGACAGATTGGCTTTATATAGTAATTATGTAAAACTGATCCAAGGATAACCTACTACTACTACTAATAATAATCTTTATTTCTACGAGTACCTGTACAAGGTATACAAGCATTGACACCATGCCCAGCCCTTCTAGGGCAGGGTAGGTGCCTGAGCCAGAGCTTGCAGCTCCCAAGACTGTCATTCCCATAAGCCCCTTTGAGGCGGGGATGGCAGACCAGAGAGGCCTAGCTTCTCCCTACGAGCCCCGTGAGGGCAGGAAATGTGGCTAGGCCTGAGGATAGTTGGTCCCAACGATGAGGGGGTACTTGTACCTCCTCCCATGGGAGACTTAGGTCTCAGACACTTCCTCGACAGGGAGCCAAGGCCGAGCCACCATTTGGAAAAGGCCCGGATCGGGAGAATACTGGCAAATCAACAAGAAGAAGGTATACAAGCCTAGCTGACATCAATAACATACTACTATATAGAAAGCCCCTTGTTATGCAGAGCATTTCGGTCATATCAGGTCAATTTTAACAAACCAAAGTACGGGTGGGAATTGAACTCGCAGCTAATGAGTCGTAAAACTCCAGACCAGTGTGTAAGTTAGGTCACTTTTGTCCCAGGATGTGACCCACACCAGTCAACTAACACCCAAGTACCTATTTTACTGAGAGGTGAGTGAGCAATCATCCCACTCAACTCACAACCTAGTGGACCTGGGTTCGAATCCATTACAAGGCAGAAGGTGGAGGCAAGTAAATGGGGGGTTAGTCAGCCATACAACACCTAGGAAATGGGATTATTATTATTATAATAAAAAAGAAGCGCTAAGCCACAAAGGCTATACAGCTAGGAAATGGGAAGTAATCAGGTATGATAAAACAAAGAAATGAGCCCTTCACCAGCATCAAGGCACCTTCCTCAAAGGTTGGGTGAGGACAACATTATTCATTGGAAACAATATGCTTCTAGAAGAGTGCCTTGAGGCTGATTAAGGATTTTTGATCCAAGGAATTAGAGCTACCTCTCCATTCCATGGCTTCGACCTGATTGCTTATTTCCCAGGCATTGCATGAGCCCAACAAACGTAGCACATCCCGGTGAATATGATAATTAACTGGAAGCATTTTACAATGTCTAATGAATTTGGAAGAAGTCACTGACCTCAATAACAGTGTATGTAACTGATAAAATAGAGATAACTGGTCGCTATCCAGCATTAAATCTACTGAGAAGAAAGAAAAATATGAAATTATTATGGTTATTATTACAATCATTACTAAGCATTGAACCTATATGGGTCATACAGCACTGTTTTATTATGATCAGATCACTATGATCTAAGAAAGAAAAATGAAAAAGGATGAATTATGGTTAGATCATTAAGATCTAGGTTATGGCCCTTCCCTTGTGGGTTTAGCACTTAGTATTGATTATAATAATAATCTAAGCTATGGCTAGATCCAGGTATAGTTATGCCTTTGGATATCAAGAATAAGCTTGGAAGTGTTATGGATCAGGAAATACTATTCAAACCCTACAGGTTTAGTGCTTCTGACAATTATCATATTTATTATTTATAATAGTAATAAGGTTTTTACTACTTGCCTTAAATTCATCATTTTCATCACTAGTTTCTCAAGTAGTCTTGCCTAAGATCACTATATAACTGCTTTGGTTTTTCACAAATTAAGTGTTTCAGAAACACAGTCACCGGCCAATTGTTTTTCATTAATGCACACTAACCAAAGTTTTTCCATTTCTTCAGTTATCTGTGACCTTTTCACAGCAAGAATTTTCACTCCTTTCACCACATCAGCCCTCTTTATTGCCTCCTTTTTTTTCAATATGGAAGATATGGTGGATTTCACCATACCATATTGAGTGCCCAGGTCTGACACACGTGTTCCACTTTCCCACATCGTTGAGATGGACCTTTTTGTCTAGGTAGAACATCAGGGCAATATCCGAATACCGAGTCAAGTTTTTCTCGAAAAAGTTGGGGAATATCAAGTTGTATGAATGTAGGGACGTATTAACATTGAGGTTCCACTGTATTATCCTTCTAGGGATAATGTGTGAGGATTAGATTTTGCCACCGAAGTGGCTAGTTTATTGTGCACCCCATATCCATCCTGTGGACGGTAGCACAAGAGCATATGGATACACAAAAGGCCCAGGAACTAGGCCCCAAAGGGTTAACAGGAATACATATGGATTTATATCTACATATCTATAGTTCACTTATCTGTTACAAGCAAATTTAGGAAATTTGCTTAGTATATCTGGTATCTTATTTTCATTAATAAGATATCTTGACATGTCACATAGGTTGTGTGAGGAGCTCATCACATCTTGCCAAAATATTCCTATATTGTCGCAGTACAGGAGGACCCCACCTTTATGGTGCTTTGCTTTAGAGCATTTTGCTAATGCATTGGTTTTCAATTACATACCCATTCTTTCTTTATTCAGACTTCCTACAATAAATATACTCACCACTCACTGTAAGCTAAGGACGAAAATATTTTAAGGTATGTGATGTGTCCTAGGTAGTAGGTTGGTAGACAGTAACCTCCCAGGGAGGTACTACCATCTTGCCGAGTGTAAAACGGAAGCCTGTAATTGTGTTTACGTGATGGTAGGATTGGTGGTGTCTTTTTTCTGTCTCATTTTATGAGATAAGATTTCACTTGCATGTACGTACAAGCATATATATATTTTTTTTCTTTTCAACAAGTCGGCCGTCTCCCACCGAGGCAGGGTGACCCAAAAAAGAAAGAAAATCCCCAAAAAGAAAATGCTTTCATCATCATTCAACACTTTCACCACACTCACACATAATCACTGTTTTTGCAGAGGTGCTCAGAATACAACAGTTTAGAAGCATATACGTATAAAGATACACAACATATCCCTCCAAACTGCCAATATCCCAAACCCCTCCTTTAAAGTGCAGGCATTGTACTTCCCATTTCGAGGACTCAAGTCCGACTATATGAAAATAACCGGTTTCCCTGAATCCCTTCACTAAATATTACCCTGCTCACACTCCAACAGATCGTCAGGTCCCAAGTACCATTCGTCTCCATTCACTCCTATCTAACACGCTCACGCACGCTTGCTGGAAGTCCAAGCCCCTTGCCCACAAAACCTCCTTTACCCCCTCTCTCCAACCCTTTCGAGGACGACAATTACCTCGCCTTCCTTCCCCTATAGACTTATATGCTTTCCATGTCATTCTACTTTGATCCATTCTCTAAATGACCAAACCACCTCAACAACCCCTCTTCTGCCCTCTGACTAATACTTTTATTAACTCCACACCTTTTCCTAATTTCCACACTCCGAATTTTCTGCATAATATTTACACCACACATTGCCCTTAGACAGGACATCTCCACTGCCTCTAACCATCTCCTTGCTGCTGCATTTACCACCCAAGCTTCACACCCATATAAGAGTGTTGGTGCTACTATACTTCATACATTCCCTTCTTTGCTCCATAGATAACGTTTTTTTGACTCCACATATACCTCAATGCACCACTCACCTTTTCTCCCTCATCAATTCTATGATTAACCTCATCCTTCATAAATCCATCCGCCAACACATCAACTCCCAAATATCTGAAAACATTCACTTCTTCCATACTCCTCCTCCCCAATTTGATATCCAATTTTTCTTTATCTAAATCATTTGATACCCTCATCACCTTACTCTTTTCTATGTTTACTTTCAACTTTCTACCTTTACACACATTCCCAAACTCATCCACTAACCTTTGCAATTTTTCTTTAGAATCTCCCATAAGCACAGTATCATCAGCAAAAAGTAACTGTGTTAATTCCCATTTTGAATTTGATTCCCCATAATTTAATCCCACCCCTCTCCCGAACACCCTAGCATTTACTTCTTTTACAACCCCATCTATAAATATATTAAACAACCATGGTGACATTACACATCCCTGTCTAAGACCTACTTTTACCGGGAAGTAGTCTCCCTCTCTTCTACACACCCTAACCTGAGCCTCACTATCCTCATAAAAACTCTTTACAGCATTTAGTAACTTTCCACCTATTCCATATATACTTGCAACATCTGCCACATTGCTCCCCTATCCACTCTATCATATGCCTTTTCTAAATCCATAAATGCAATAAAAACTTCCCTACCTTTATCTAAATACTGTTCACATATATGCTTCAATGTAAACACTTGATCTACACATCCCCTACCCACTCTGAAACCTCCTTGCTCATCTGCAATCCTACATTCTGTCTTGCCTCTAATTCTTTCAATTATAACCCTACCGTACACTTTTCCTGGTATACTCAATAAACTTATTCCTCTATAATTTTACAATCTCTTTTGTCCCCTTTCCCTTTATATAAAGGGACTATACATGCTCTGTGCCAATCCCTAGGTACCTTCCCCTCTTTCATACATATATTAAACAAAAGTACCAACCACTCCAACACTATATCCCCCCTGCTTTTAACATTTCTGTCATGATCCCATCAGTTCCAGCTGCTTTACCCCCTTTCATTCTACGTAATGCCTCGCGTACCTCCCCCACACTTACATTCTGCTCTTCACTCCTAAAAGATGGTATACCTCCCTGACCAGTGCATGAAATTACCGTCTCCCTTTCTTCCTCAACATTTAAAAGTTCCTCAAAATATTCTCGCCATCTACCTAATACCTCCCTCTCCCCATCTAACTCCCCTACTCTGTTTTTAACTGACAAATCCATACTTTCCCTAGGCTTTCTTAACTTGTTTAACTCACTCCAAAATTTTTTCTTATTTTCATTAAAATTTCTTGACAGTGCCTCTCCCACTCTATCATCTGCTCTCCTTTTACACTCTCTTCACCTTTCTTTTACTCTCCATATACTCTGCTCTTCTTATAACACTTCTGCTTTGTAAAAACCTCTCATAAGCTAACTTTTTCTCTTTTATCACACCCTTTACTTCATCATTCCACCAATCACTACTCTTTCCACCTGCCCCCACCCTCCTATAACCACAAACTTCTGCCCCACATTCTAATACTGTATTTTTAAAACTATTCCAACCCTCTTCAACCCCCCCCCCACTACTCATCTTTGCACTAGCCCACCTTTCTGCCAACAGTCGCTTATATCTCCCCCGAACTTCCTCCTCCCTTAGTTTATACACTTTCACCTCCCGCTTACTTGTTGTTGCCACCTTCCTCTTTTCCCATCTACCTCTTACTTTAACTGTAGCTACAACTAAATAATGATCCGATATATCAGTTGCCCCTCTATAAACATGTACATCCTGGAGCCTACCCATCAACCTTTTATCCACCAATACATAATCTAACAAACTACTTTCATTACGTGCTACATCATACCTTGTATATTTATTTATCCTCTTTTTCATAAAATATGTATTACTTATTACCAAATCTCTTTCTACACATAGCTCAATTAAAGGCTCCCCATTTACATTTACCCCTGGCACTCCAAATTTACCTACTACTCCCTCCATAACATTTTTACCCACTTTAGCATTGAAATCCCCAACCACCATTACTCTCACACTTGATTCAAAACTCCCCACGCATTCACCCAACATTTCCCAAAATCTCTCTCTCTCCTCTACACTTCTTTCTTTTCCAGGTGCATACATGCTTACTATAACCCACTTTTCACATCCAATCTTTATTTTACTCCACATAATCCTTGAATTAATACATTTATAGTCCCTCTTTTCCTGCCATAGCTTATCCTTCAACATTATTGCTACTCCTTCTTTAGCTCTAACTCTATTTGAAACCCCTGACCTAATCCCATTTATTCCTCTCCATTGAAACTCTCCCACCCCCTTCAGCTTCGTTTCACTTAAAACCAGGACATCCAGCTTCTTCTCATTCATAACATCCACAATCATCTCTTTCTTATCATTTGCACAACATCCACGCACATTCAGACTTCCCACTTTGACAATTTTCTTCTTTTTATTCTTTTTAGTAATCTTTACAGGAAAAGGGGTTACTAGCCCATTGTTCCCGGCATTTTAGTTGACTTTTACAACACGCATGGCTTACGGAGGAAAGATTCTCATTCCACTTCCCCATGGATATAAAAGGAAAAGTAATAAGACCAAGAACTATTAAGATAAAATCAAAGAAAACTCAGATGAGTGTGTATAAATAAACGTGTACATGTATGTGTAGTGTGACCTAAGTGTAAGTAGAAGTAGCAAGACATACCTGTAATCTTTTATATTTATGAGACAGACCAAAGACACCAGCAATCCTACCATCATGTAAAACAATTACAGGCTTTTGTTTTACATTCACTTGGCAGGACAGTAGTACCTCCCTGGGTGGTTGCTGTCTACCAACCTACTACATACTACATACAAGCATATATATATACATATATATATACACACCTTCTCTGGGTTTTCTTCTATTTTCTTACTAGTTCTCACTCTTGTTTATTTCCTCTTATCTCCATTGGGAAGTGGAACAAAATTCTTCCTCTGTAAGCCATGCATGTCATAAAAGGGGACCAAAATGCCGGGAGCAAGGGGCTACTAACCCCTTCCCCTGTATACATTACTAAAGTTAAAAAAGAGAAACTTCTGTTTTTCTTTTTGGGCTACCCCTCCTCGGTGGGTTATGGCCAGTGCTTTGAAAGAAGTAATGTGTATACTGTATATGAATTTTTAGGCTTAGCTCTATTGCTTACTTAATATATGATGGTGTGAACATGTTATCAGGCTTTTATATGCATTTGAAAATGAAAAAAGGCTATGATTCGCTTTACAGAAATTTTCGATATACAGCAGTAGCCCATAACCTAACCTGCTGTATAGGTGGGGCCCTCCTGTATTTGCTTAATGGCATATTATTAATGTAGTATATTCATGGGAGAGTATTCAATCTAAGTCAATAGTCAATGTATAGGGCAGTGTTATTCACTAATTTTTGCAAGAGAGCCACTTCGGTTAAACACATTGATTGAGAGAGCCGCAGCTACTGCAAGTTAGCCTAACTCAACTAAATTAAGTAGTACTGAGCTGCTAGTGCAATATAGTAAATGAGAAAAATTAGACATGGTAATATTAGCCTGCATATCTTGTTATTAATAGTGGCTTGCAAGCCGCTGGTGGCTCGCGAGCCGCGCAATGAATACCACTGGTATAGGGAATGAGAGGATAATGTGGTTTGATCCAGGAAAATGAATGATTGCTTCAGCCACTTCTGTGAAAGATTACTGGGACTAAATAATCTAAACAAATTTAGTTGTGGAATAAAAAAAATCATTGTGCATAATAAATATTTATTTTGATAAATACTGTACGTAAATTCACTCTAGATTTTACAGTTTAATCATATAAAATAGATTTATAGTTTATGACTTAATAAAGTAAAACTGTACACATCATCAAACCTTAATTGCAATGAAGTTATAATTAGTGATGTAGAGTTACAAACCTAATTTTTTTGCAAATTTAATGAACATCTGTCTTCATAAACTGGTTCCTTGAAAACCTAAGTATGCAGTATTAAAACCTTTGATTCAGAGGTACCGGTATACTGTGCACAGCAATGCTACAAAAATAATCCTTTAGCAATATTAAAAATCATTAAACTTGATGACCTCTGGTAAGTGCAAGTTAGATATACAGTTCTGGAGTGCTAGTAACAGCAGGAACAATTTCATATACAGTACCCTTGCTTAACGTCACTGATAGGTTCTTGGAAACTGCAACTTTAAGTGAAATGATGTTTAACAAAACCAATTTTACCACATGCTAACTGAGGGGTGCACAGTGCACCTTTAACACTCATTGCAACAGGGTTAAATCAAGGAATAAATGTTTGCAAAGCAAATACTGTAAGGAGCACCTTCTACCACCACAGTTCAATAACAAATATGGCAAGGGGCACTCTCACACACCCACTCACTCATACTGGGACAATTTAGACATTCTAATTAACCTAACATGCACATCTTTGGGATGTGTAAAGAAACTGGAGTACCCGGAGAAAAACCCATGAGACATGGGGAGAATCTGCAAACTCCACACAGACAGTGGGCCCTGGCTTTGAATATATTTTTTTTTTCTCATCAATGTCATGATGAAATGACTGTAAGCAAGGACTTGCTGTATCCAGCTGTGTGTGGTTGCTAACTTAAAACTAATGAAGATTGAAGTCCTATGCATTACCAATATTTTACAGCCTATTTAGTAGTGTCATTATTTGAGTTAAGCTACCAAATTGTTAAACTGATACTTCTTTATAATAAATCTTATTTCACATTAAATTATCAGAATAAAATTGAGATGAGAGAAAAATTTAATTCTTAAAAAAATGATAAGGTTGTTGATCATAAAGCACATCAAGCAATAATCAAAGAACAACCATCTACACTAAAAAGTCATATTAATGAACATCATCTCTCATTCAGTACACAGAACTTATAATAACAGTTATGAACTCTGCCTTTAATGGGGCAACTTTTATGCTCCTCTATTAATCACAAATAGGAATTCTTAATACTATAAAGTGCAATTTAGTTATTAACACAATTAGAAAAAAAGAAAAGATGGAATCTTGTGCATTAATACTGTAGTATCATTTTATTTAATAGCTACCATATCCCACTAAGGAAGGATAATACCAAAAAAATAATCACATTCACCATAACTCATTCCCTAGCTCTAGTTCCAGGTGTAGAGACATCACAATTCAAATAATCCATTGAATTTCAACATCCCTATTCTTCCCTCAGAATACAGGCACCATATTTCCCGCTACCAATTTATCGCAGGATAACTTGAATTATTTACGGCAGACTGAGTGTGGTTGTATTGTAGGGTGACATTGCAAAGTGTTGGTTTCTATTGCTTAGAAAAATTACTTCATTTCCTTCCATACTGAACCTGCAAAATAAAAGTTAATTTAGCTCATTCCTTGTTTGGGATCTAGTGAGAAAATTCATAATGAAAAAATGCAATACAGTAGTGAACAAACTTTGGCACATCTACACTTTCAACATGCCTTGACAGAATATTGGATTATACATTACTAAATACAGCTTTTATCAGTCCACATATACATGTACTGTATACACACTAACAGAACAAAGCTCATTAGTATATATTTTCACAAGCAAGCATATTCCCAAAGTTAAAGAAATGCTCAAAGTTTTTAATTACAGATACACAAGAAAAATAACTAAGACGCCAACAAGGATGGGTAATACGTTATCAGAACAATACAACACTTCTAGCTGAGTTCAAACTAATGGAGTGTTTTATTTGTATGGAATACAATGACCATATATATGGTGTTACTATCAAGCTTCCAGGACAGCTACTGAAATGTTAATCAGTGTGTGTTTAGATGTGGACACAGGTCACTCTTCACACACAAAATTAGTTCATAAACTATTAGATAAAGATTTAATAAAATGAACAGAAACAGTGTGATGTGAGAAAATAAAATTACTACCAGATCACGTTTCTATGAAATCTCCCATTTCAGGACTAAATTTTCAGGTAAAGTCACAAAATGAGTCTCGTGGGTTTTTCCTGTACAAAACATGTTTCTTAAAGATTATGGTCTATAACAATTTAAATCTACTACTGGCAAAAGAGGTTATTAATTCTAAAAAAGCCAATATCAAACGAGTTTTTTTCTTAAAGCTTTCTTAAATATCAAATGCTGAATAGCATTTATCATAGAATTAAAATTGGCATCATGAAATGTATTATGCAAAATCAATTACCATTTTTAAAATACAAATTTTTTATTTTTTTTTATTATCACACTGGCCGATTCCCACCAAGGCAGGGTGGCCCGAAAAAGAAAAACTTTCACCATTTTTCACTCCATCACTGTCTTGCCAGAAGGGTGCTTTACACTACATTTGAACTGCAACATTAACACCCCTCCTTCAGAGTGCAGGCACTGTACTTCCCATCTCCAGGACTCAAGCCCGGCCTGCCGGTTTCCCTGAACCCCTTCATAAATGTTACTTTGCTCACACTCCAACAGCACGTCAAGTATTAAAAACCATTTGTCTCCATTCACTCTTATCAAACACGCTCACGCATGCCTCCTGGAAGTCCAAGCCCCTCGCACACAAAACCTCCTTTACCCCCTCCCTCCAACCTTTCCTAGGCCGACCCCTACCCCGCCTTCCTTCCACTACAGACTGATACACTCTACACTCTTAAAGTCACTCTGTTTCACTCCATTCTCTCTACATGTCCGAACCACCTCAACAACCCTTCCTCAGCCCTCTGGACAACAGTTTTGGTAATCCCGCACCTCCTCCTAACTTCCAAACTACGAATTCTCTGCATTATACTCACACCACACATTGCCCTCAGACATGACATCTCCACTGCCTCCAGCCTTCTCCTCGCTGCAACATTCATCACCCATGCTTCACACCCATATAAGAGCGTTGGTAAAACTGTACTCTCATACATTCCCCTCTTTGCCTCCAAGGACAAAGTTCTTTGTCTCCACAGACTCCTAAGTGCACCACTCACCCTTTTCCCCTCATCAATTCTATGATTCACCTCATCTTTCATAGATCCATCCGCTGACACGTCCACTCCCAAATACAGCGGACCCTCGACTAACGCTATTAATCCGTTCCTGAGAGCTCATCGTTAGTCAAAATAATCGTTAGTCAAGTTAATTTTCCCCATAAGAAATAATGGAAATCAAATTAATCCGTGCAAAACACCCAAAAGTATTGAAAAAAAAAATATTTAACACATGAAATATTAATTTTAATACACACAAACTGAAGAAGACATGCACAGTTACATGACACTTACCTTTATTGAAGATCTGGTGATGATTGATGGGGTGGGAAGAGGGGAGTGTGTTGATGGTCTTAGTGTTTAGAAGGGGAATCCCCTTCCATTAGGACTTGAGGTGGCAAGTCCTTTTTCAGGGTTACTTCCCTTCTTCTTTTAATGCCACTAGGACCAGCTTGAGAGTCACTGGACCTCTGTCGCACAACATATCTGCCCATAGAGGCCTGTACCTCCCGTTACTTTATGACATTCCTAAAGTGTTTCACAACATTGTCAGTGTCACCATTAAACACTTGTTCAGGTTTCAGTCCTTCACTGTCTATGTACTCCTTGAATTCCTGCACATATTTTTCAGCTGCTTTTTGGTCCAAACTGGCAGCCTCGCCATGCCTTATCACACTATGTATGCCACTATGATTCTTAAATCTCTCAAACCAACCTTTGCTGGCCTTAAATTCACTCACATCACCACTAGTTGCTGGCATTTTTCTAATTAAATCGTCATGCAACTTCCTAGCCTTTTCACATATGATCGCTTGAGAGATGCTATCTCCTGCTATCTGTTTTTCTTTTATCCATACCAATAACAGTCTCTCAACATCTTCTATCACTTGCGATCTCAGTTTCGAAAACATAGTTGCACCTTTGGCAAGAACAGCTTCCTTGATTGCCGTTTTCTTGGCCACAATAGTAGCGATGGTTGATTGGGGTTTTGTGTACAGCCTGGCCAGCTCGGAGATATGCACTCCACTTTCATACTTAGCAATGATCTCTTTCTTCATTTTTTTTTTTTCAACAAGTCGGCCATCTCCCACCGAGGTAGGGTGACCAAAAAAAAAGAAAGAAAATCCCCAAAAAGAAAATACTTTCATCATCATTCAACACTTTCACCACACTCGCACATTATCACTGTTTTTGCAGAGGTGCTCAGAATACAACAGTTTAGAAGCATACACATATAAAGATACACAACATATCCCTCCAAACTGCCAATATCCCAAACCCCTCCTTTAAAGTGCAGGCATTGTACTTCCCATTTCCAGGACTCAAGTCCGACTATATGAAAATAACCGGTTTCCCTGAATCCCTTCACACTCCAACAGATCGTCAGGTCCCAAGTACCATTCGTCTCCATTCACTCCTATCTAACACGCTCACGCACGCTTGCTGGAAGTCCAAGCCCCTTGCCCACAAAACCTCCTTTACCCCCTCTCTCCAACCCTTTCGAGGACGACCCCTACCCCGCCTTCCTTCCCCTATAGATTTATATGCTTTCCATGTCATTCTACTTTGATCCATTCTCTCTAAATGACCAAACCACCTCAACAACCCCTCTTCTGCCCTCTGACTAATACTTTTATTAACTCCACACCTTTTCCTAATTTCCACACTCCGAATTTTCTGCATAATATTTACACCACACATTGCCCTTAAACAGGACATCTCCACTGCCTCGAACCGTCTCCTCGCTGCTGCATTTACCACCCAAGCTTCACACCCATATAAGATTGTTGGTACTACTATACTTTCATACATTCCCTTCTTTGCCTCCATAGATAACGTTTTTTGACTCCACATATACCTCAACGCACCACTCACCTTTTTTCCCTCATCAATTCTATGATTAACCTCATCCTTCATAAATCCATCCGCCGACACGTCAACTCCCAAGTATCTGAAAACATTCACTTCTTCCATACTCCTCCTCCCCAATTTGATATCCAATTTTTCTTTATCTAAATCATTTGACACCCTCATCACCTTACTCTTTTCTATGTTCACTTTCAACTTTCTACCTTTACACACATTCCCAAACTCCTCCACTAACCTTTGCAATTTTTCTTTAGAATCTCCCATAAGCACAGTATCATCAGCAAAAAGTAACTGTGTCAATTCCCATTTTGAATTTGATTCCCCAAAATTTAATCCCACCCCTCTCCCGAACACCCTAGCATTTACTTCCTTTACAACCCCATCTATAAATATATTAAACAACCATGGTGACATTACACGTCCCTGTCTAAGACCTACTTTTACCGGGAAGTAGTCTCCCTCTCTTCTACACACCCTAACCTGAGCCTTACTATCCTCATAAAAACTCTTTACAGCATTTAATAACTTACCACCTATTCCATATACGTGCAACATCTGCCACTCTATCATATGCCTTTTCTAAATCCATAAATGCAATAAAAACTTCCCTACCTTTATCTAAATACTGTTCACATATATGCTTCAATGTAAACACTTGATCTACACATCCCCTACCCACTCTGAAACCTCCTTGCTCATCCGCAATCCTACATTCTGTCTTACCTCTAATTCTTTCAATTATAACCCTACCGTACACTTTTCCTGGTATACTCAGTAAACTTATTCCTCTATAATTTTTACAGTCTCTTTTGTCCCCTTTCCCTTTATATAAAGGGACTATACATGCTCTCCGCCAATCCCTAGGTACCTTCCCCTCTTTCATACATTTATTAAACAAAAGTACCAACCACTCCAACACTATATCCCCCTGCTTTTAACATTTCTGTCATGATCCCATCAGTTCCAGCTGCTTTACCCCCTTTCATTTTACGTAATGCCTCACGTACCTCCCCCACACTTACATTCTGCTCTTCTTCACTCCTAAAAGATGGTACACCTCCCTGACCAGTGCATGAAATTACTGCCTCTGTTTCTTCCTTAACATTTAAAAGTTCCTCAAAATATTCTCGCCATCTACCTAATACCTCCATCTCCCCATCTACTAACTCCCCTACTCTGTTTTTAACTGACAAATCCATACTTTCCCTAGGCTTTCTTAACTTGTTTAACTCACTCCAAAATTTTTTCTTATTTTCATTAAAATTTCTTGACAGTGCCTCTCCCACTCTATCATCTGCTCTCCTTTTGCACTCTCTCACCACTCTCTTTACCTTTCTTTTACTCTCCATATACTCTGCTCTTCTTATAACACTTCTGCTTTGTAAAAACCTCTCATAAGCTACCTTTTTCTCTTTTATCACACTCTTTACTTCATCATTCCACCAATCACTCCTCTTTCCTCCTGCCCCCACCCTCCTATAACCACAAACTTCTGCCCCACATTCTAATACTGCATTTTTAAAACTATTTCAACCCTCTTCAACCCCCCCACTACTCATCTTTGCACTAGCCCACCTTTCTGCCAATAGTCGCTTATATCTCACCCGAACTTCCTCCTCCCTTAGTTTATACACTTTCACCTCCCTCTTACTTGTTGTTGCCACCTTCCTCTTTTCCCATCTACCTCTTACTCTAACTGTAGCTACAACTAAATAATGATCCGATATATCAGTTGCCCCTCTATAAACATGTACATCCTGGAGCCTACCCATCAACCTTTTATCCACCAATACATAATCCATAGTAATTCTCACCCTTTTTGCTGTAGGGTTGGCACTAGAAGCTTTCTTGGGGCCCATGGTGACTTATTTTGCAGGTGCAATCACTAAAAAGGCTGTGATAATATGAAATGTTCCAATTGTATGCTTGGAAGCGACCGTGGTGGCTTGTAAACACTGGCCAGAAGTGGAAGCGTCTCAGACGGAACGAATAGTGTTGGTTGAGTTTTTTAGCGCTAATCGAGGCAAAATTTTTGCGATAAAATGTATCGCTAGTCAGATTTATCGTTAATCGATGCCATCGCTGGTCGAGGGTCCACTGTATCTGAATACATTCACCTCCTCCATACTCTCTCCCTCCAATCTGATATCCAATCTTTCATCACCTAGGTGATGAAAGATGAAAATATGAAATATGTACCATAAATGAAAAGCAGGGAATTGTACTATTTTCTAAACCTCATTATTGGATGATTAACAGTTAGCATGTACAAACATCTACTTAATTTTGCAAATAAATAACAAAAAGGCACAATATTGTGAATGGAACAATACACAAATAACCCGCACACAGAGAGGACCTTATGACAATGTCAAGTGGCCCGGTGGTCTGGTGGCTAAAGCTCCCGCTTCACACACGGAGGGCCCGGGTTCGATTCCCGGCGGGTGGAAATTCCGACACGTTTCCTTACACCTATTGTCCTGTTCACCTAGCAGCAAATAGGTACCTGGGTGTTAGTCGACTGGTGTGGGTCGCATCCTGGGGGACAAGATTAAGGACCCCAATGGAAATAAGTTAGACAGTCCTCGATGACGCACTGACTTTCTTGGGTTATCCTGGGTGGCTAACCCTCCGGGGTTAAAAATCCGAACGAAATCTTATCTTATCTTATCTTGGTCCGACTTGGACCATTTACAAAGTCACACAAACATAAAGGAGAGAAGGGAGGGAGTATATGGAGGCCAGCAGACAGGGATGGGACAAGAGAGGTAGTAGGAAAAGGAAGAAGAGAGGTAGTTGTAGAGGTAGTAGTGGGGTCAGTCAAAGACTAAGAAAGAGGAGCACTGCAAGGGAGCCAGGGGCCCACAAAGGGTAGGAACAAGAGCACATATCTCACCGTAACAGCCCTCGGTGCAGTCCTCGTGGTGAGGAATGATCGTCATAGAAGAGTCCAAAACATCGACATAGAATCTTCATGCCACCGAATCCTGTCATGTCCAGCTCCATGTAGGGTACAACGTAAACTGACTGCCTGTATAAAGTCAAAATTTTATTTAGTATTTTTTTATTTTTATAATTTCAAATCAAGTTTGTCTTGTATCATTAAATGATGTTCCAGTCCAAGCGGAATCTATTATACAATGTGATACCAATGCATACTTTTGTTATTTTAATAATTATGGGGGAGCATTAACTCTAATGGGGTTTTGGGACGTAACTGCGTTTGATCCAAGGAGAAGATAACTCCAATTCCTGGGTAGAACTTTTATCCAATATCAAGGTATTCCCTTGGATGGTACATAAGCATTTATTGTCTCAACAATACCTTGATGCTAGTAAAGGGTTCTTGATATAAGGAATCAGACCCATCGTCCCTTTCCCTGGATAGAACTAGATTACCACCTTCACAGGCTCTGTATGACCTTCATAGGTTTAACACTCCCCATAAAGGCAATAATAATAATAATCACAGAGTATATGCCATCATCAAAGAGGTACGAAGTAGGCATGGCCAAACCATGACCTGAGTCACATGTGGATCTTTGGCTAATGTACTTTAGCTCGTGAGACAATATCTAGGTCTGACCCTGTCAGGTTTAACACTTAATTTGATTATATTGTTGATATTTAGATTTACTTTCTCTTCTGAGTGATGATTCATTGTATCATATTGAATGAGCAAATGAGTTTTACCCAGCTCACAGGCCATGATGTGGCCAGGATTATTCGTATGGTTTGTGCATGTGCATTGTTTGTTTTGGATTGTTAGTATTTAAATGATAGAACTTACTTGTCATCAAAGACTAGCTTCAAATTGGTAGTGGATTCATTTAATGCACAGGCATTAATGTCTTCCTTGGTGAGTGAGATCACATGGGCATGACTGGAATTTAATAACTCCAGCAGGTGGCTTTCGTATCGGTCAGAGGTCAGGGTGTCTGCATTACTGAGTGGTGATGTCATCTCTCTAAAGAAACATTACAACAGGAATTAAGAGTTATCTATTACATATTTGTCTGTATAACTTTATATATTTATCAATAAAAGTGTACAAAAGTGATGAACAATTGAATGCCAGGAGGATTAGCCAAGTTGCAAATGATGTTAAATTTATTACATTTAAGATTTTTTTTTTTTCCTATTATTGAAACCAGTGTCAATAATTTTTTTTTTTTTTTTTCCAACAAGTCGGCCGTCTCCCACCGAGGCAGGGTGACCCAAAAAAGAAAGAAAATCCCCAAAAAGAAAATACTTTCATCATCATTCAACACTTTCACCACACTCGCACATTATCACTGTTTTTGCAGAGGTGCTCAGAATACAACAGTCTAGAAGCATACGCATATAAAGATACACAACATATCCCTCCAAACTGCCAATATCCCAAACCCCTCCTTTAAAGTGCAGGCATTTTTCTGCCCTCTGACTAATACTTTTATTAACTCCACACCTTTTCCTAATTTCCACACTCCGAATTTTCTGCATAATATTTACACCACACATTGCCCTTAAACAGGACATCTCCACTGCCTCCAACCATCTCCTCGCTGCTACATTTACCACCCAAGCTTCACACCCATATAGGAGTGTTGGTACTACTATACTTTCATACACTCCCTTCTTTGCCTCCATAGATAACGTATTTTGACTCCACATATACCTCAACGCACCACTCACCTTTTTTCCCTCATCAATTCTATGATTAACCTCATCCTTCATAAATCCATCCGCCGACACGTCAACTCCCAAGTATCTGAAAACATTCACTTCTTCCATACTCCTCCTCCCCAATTTGATATCCAATTTTTCTTTATCTAAATCATTTGACACCCTCATCACCTTACTCTTTTCTATGTTCACTTTCAACTTTCTACCTTTACACACATTCCCAAACTCATCCACTAACCTTTGCAATTTTTCTTTAGAATCTCCCATAAGCACAGTATCATCAGCAAAAAGTAACTGTGTCAATTCCCATTTTGAATTTGATTCCCCAAAATTTAATCCCACCCCTCTCCCGAACACCCTAGCATTTACTTCCTTTACAACCCCATCTATAAATATATTAAACAACCATGGTGACATTACACATCTCTGTCTAAGACCTAAGACCTCTGTAGAGAGTGTGCACAAGTATAAGAAAAAAAAATTACCAACATTGTCAGCACTTTTTATTTCAGGGATCCTAACAGTGAAAGGGTTAATTAAAAACAGAGTCCAAAATACACACTATAGGCACTCCAGCCACTACAGCAACCTTTCCTCTGTTCATTGATCATGTTCTCAGGCCTCTCCTGTATAACAGTTGGCCTCCATTTTTAATCCACCACACAAAAAATTACAGTATTACCCTATTTCTTGGATAAAAATATTTATTTTATTATTATTATCACACTGGCCGATTCCTACCAAGGCAGGGTGGCCCGAAAAAGAAAAACTTTCACCATCATTCACTCCATCACTGTCTTGCCAGAAGGGTGCTTTACACTACAGTTTTTAAACTGCAACATTAACACCCCTCCTTCAGAGTGCAGGCACTGTACTTCCCATCTCCAGGACTCAAGTCCGGCCTGCCGGTTTCCCTGAATCCCTTCATAAATGTTACTTTGCTCACACTCCAACAGCACGTCAAGTATTAAAAACCATTTGTCTCCATTCACTCCTATCAAACACGCTCATGCATGCCTGCTGGAAGTCCAAGCCCCTCGCACACAAAACCTCCTTTACCCCCTCCCTCCAACCTTTCCTAGGCCGACCCCTACCCCGCCTTCCTTCCACTACAGACTGATACACTCTTGAAGTCATTCTGTTTCGCTCCCTTCTCTCTACATGTCCGAACCACCTCAACAACCCTTCCTCAGCCCTCTGGACAACAGTTTGGTAATCCCGCACCTCCTCCTAACTTCCAAACTACGAATTCTCTGCATTATATTCACACCACACATTGCCCTCAGACATGACATCTCCACTGCCTCCAGCCTTCTCCTCGCTGCAACATTCATCACCCACGCTTCACACCCATATAAGAGCGTTGGTAAAACTATACTCTCATACATTCCCCTCTTGGCCTCCAAGGACAAAGTTCTTTGTCTCCAGAGACTCCTAAGTGCACCACTCACTCTTTTTCCCTCATCAATTCTATGATTCACCTCATCTTTCATAGACCCATCCACTGACACGTCCACTCCCAAATATCTGAATACGTTCACCTCCTCCATACTCTCTCCCTCCAATCTGATAACCAATCTTTCATCACCTAATCTTTTTGTTATCCTCATAACCTTACTCTTTCCTGTATTCACCTTTAATTTTCTTCTTTTGCACACCCTACCAAATTCATCCACCAATCTCTGCAACTTCTCTTCAGAATCTCCTAAGAGCACAGTGTCATCAGCAAAGAGCAGCTGTGACAACTCCCACTTTGTGTGTGATTCTTTATCTTTTAACTCCACGCCTCTTGCCCAGACCCTCGCATTTACTTCTCTTACAACCCCATCTATAAATATATTAAACAACCACGGTGACATCACACATCCTTGTCTAAGGCCTACTTTTACTGGGAAAAAAATTTCCCTCTTTCCTACATACTCTAACTTGAGCCTCACTATCCTCGTAAAAACTCTTCACTGCTTTCAGTAACCTACCTCCTACACCATACACTTGCAACATCTGCCACATTGCCCCCCTATCCACCCTGTCATACGCCTTTTCCAAATCCATAAATGCCACAAAGACCTCTTTAGCCTTATCTAAATACTGTTCACTTATATGTTTCACTGTAAACACCTGGTCCACACACCCCCTACCTTTCCTAAAGCCTCCTTGTTCATCTGCTATCCTATTCTCCGTCTTACTCTTAATTCTTTCAATTATAACTCTACCATACACTTACCAGGTATACTCAACAGACTTATCCCCCTATAATTTTTGCACTCTCTTTTATCCCCTTTGCCTTTATACAAAGGAACTATGCAAGCTCTCTGCCAATCCCTAGGTACCTTACCCTCTTCCATACATTTATTAAATAATTGCACCAACCACTCCAAAACTATATCCCCACCTGCTTTTAACATTTCTATCTTTATCCCATCAATCCCGGCTGCCTTACCCCCTTTCATTTTACCTACTGCCTCACGAACTTCCCCCACACTCACAACTGGCTCTTCCTCACTCCTACAAGATGTTATTCCTCCTTGCCCTATACACGAAATCACAGCTTCCCTATCTTCATCAACATTTAACAATTCCTCAAAATATTCCCTCCATCTTCCCAATACATGTACCTCTAACTCTCCATTTAATAACTCTCCTCTCCTATTTTTAACTGACAAATCCATTTGTTCTCTAGGCTTTCTTAACTTGTTAATCTCACTCCAAAACTTTTTCTTATTTTCAACAAAATTTGTTGATAACATCTCACCCACTCTCTCATTTGCTCTCTTTTTACATTGCTTCACCACTCTCTTAACCTCTCTCTTTTTCTCCATATACTCTTCCCTCCTTGCATCACTTCTACTTTGTAAAAACTTCTCATATGCTAACTTTTTCTCCCTTACTACTCTCTTTACATCATCATTCCACCAATCGCTCCTCTTCCCTCCTGTACCCACTTTCCTGTAACCACAAACTTCTGCTGAACACTCTAACACTACATTTCTAAACCTACCCCATACCTCTTCGACCCCATTGCCTATGCTCTCTTTAGCCCATCTATCCTCCAATAGCTGTTTATATCTTACCCTAACTGCCTCCTCTTTTAGTTTATAAACCTTCACCTCTCTCTTCCCTGATGCTTCTATTCTCCTTGTATCCCATCTACCTTTTACTCTCAGTGTAGCTACAACTAGAAAGTGATCTGATATATCTGTGGCCCCTCTATAAACATGTACATCCTGAAGTCTACTCAACAGTCTTTTATCTACCAATACATAATCCAAAAAAACTACTGTCATTTCGCCCTACATCATATCTTGTATTCTTATTTATCCTCTTTTTCTTAAAATATGTATTACCTATAACTAAACCCCTTTCTATACAAAGTTCAATCAAAGGGCTCCCATTATCATTTACACCTGGCACCACCAAACTTACCTACCACACCCTCTCTAAAAGTTTCTCCTACTTTAGCATTCAGGGTCCCCTACCACAATTACTCTCTCACTTGGTTCAAAGGCTCCTATACATTCACTTAACATCTCCCAAAATCTCTCTCTCTCCTCTGCATTCCTCTCTTCTCCAGGTGCAATACACGCTTATTATGACCCACTTCTCGCATCCAACCTTCACTTTAATCCACATAATTCTTGAATTTACACATTCATATTCTCTTTTCTCCTTCCATAACTGATCATTTAACATTACTGCTACCCCTTCCTTTGCTCTAACTCTCTCAGATACTCCAGATTTAATCCCATTTATTTCCCCCCACTGAAACTCTCCTACCCCCTTCAGCTTTGTTTCGCTTAGGGCCAGGACATCCAACTTCTTTTCATTCATAACATCAGCAATCATCTGTTTCTTGTCATCCGCACTACATCCACGCACATTTAAGTATCCCAGTTTTATAAAGTTTTTCTTCTTCTCTATATAACCAAGAATGATTGGTCATGGTTTAGGCCATCACAATAACTGAAGTAGACCTAGTGAAAGCTCATAAAACAATGATGTAGATCTATGTAGGAGACAGTGAAAGGGCTAAGGGTGTTGGCAGATGGTCAACTTTTGGTATTTTCAGACAGAAAGTTCCATATTTTTGGGTCTTTCATTTGTATGGAATTTCTAAACAGGTCGAGTCGGACACGTGGTATATCATGAAAGTAAACACTGCATATTTTGTTTCATTTCTCCAGAACGAGTTTAAGCCCTGGGTTAGTTTCTAATCAATGTCCTGTATACAGAGTATGCATAGTAAAAGTGTGAATATTTTTTATGTTAAGCAAATTTAACTTACAAATAGGGAGGTGAGGGGGCATTGCCTGGAGCCTGAATGTAAATTGATATCTAAAGGCAAGAATGATAAAATTGAACTCACAAATTGGTAGCACGTAGACGGTGAAAGAGGGCATGAATCAATGGTGTAACTGGCTCAAGATCAGACCCCAGTGGACGCCGTAATACACGTGACACATCTGGCACCACCATCTCTCTCTCCCATCGACCCAGCTCCAACCATCCTTCCCAGCCACTACAACAATATATGATCTGTCACTTATCACTTACAGAAAATTAATGTGCCTTACAAATCAACTTAATAAATATTTTAATGCCGAGTCATTTATAGACAAATTTTTCTCCAAATTTTGGTTCACTGTTTAGTTACATGTACTGAGAAGGAAGTTATTAAAGGCCTGAAGGACATGACAAAAATCAATTATGTGCTATTGTAGAGTACAATATAAAAGATCATATTCCATTAAATGTACTGCGACATCAATTAAACAAAAATCTTACCGCTTGTTACAACACTGTTTCATGTTTGGCTTTAGTTCCTTCATATAAGTAGCCATACGTATAGTGAATGCCTGGCCTGGAAAATCCTCAACCCTATATACAAGATCAGCTCGTGATGACACATTTGGAAAACCTAAAAAATAATTACACAATTAACATTAGCCATTTACACTTACAGAAATTTTCGTTGAATTCTCTATCCCGGTTTGGTTATCATGAAAGCAAATATGAAAGAAAACTACACACATCAGATATACAGCAATGAGAAATGATTGGGAAATATGAAAAGGTAAAAAGGTCCAAGATAACAATAATGGGAAATCATTATATTTACATTGAAAAATGGATGAGACCAACAACTGGCAAAGTAATGCAAGTATTGGTAAGAGTTTACTATATCACTTTACTAATGAGTGACACAAGCCACTCTAATACCTGTACTATCTTTTCATAGTTATTCAACTCAATCTGAGCACTTTTCACAAAATGTTTTATTTTATATACGTGTATATGTATTGTATTTTACATCCTAGGTAGCAGGTTGGTAGAGAGCAACCGCCCAAGGAGGTATTACCATCCTGCCAAGTGAGTGTGAAATGGAAGACTGTAATTGTTTTATGTGATGGTAGGACTGCTGGTGTATTTTTTGTCTCATAAACATGCAAGATTTCAGGTACGTCTTGCGACTTCTACTTACACTTTAGGTCACACTGCACATGCATGTACAAGCATATATATACACACCCATCTGGGTTTTCTTCTATTTACTTACTAGGTCTTCTTGTTTATTTCCTCTTTTCTCCATGGGGAAGTGGAACAGAATTCTTCCTCCGTAAGTCATGCGGGTTGTAAGAGGAAACTAAAATGCCAGGCGCAAGGGCCTAGTAACCCCTTGCCCTGTATAAATCACTAAATTTAAAAAGAGAAACTTTTGTTTTTCTTTTTGGGCCAACCTACCTCGGTGGGAAATGGCTAATTTGCTGAAAGAAGAAGAAACATGCAAGATTTCAGGAACGTCTTGCTACTTCTACTTACACTTAGGTCAAAATGCACATGCATAAACAAGCATGCTTGCATTTAATAAAATTTAAAATTAATTAATTTATAAAAAAAAAATATATAAAAAAATTTTTTATATATATTTTAAAATTTTATATATATTTTTATAATTTTATTAAAATTTTTTTTTTTTAAACAAGTCGGCCGTCTCCCACGAGGCAGGGTGACCAAAAAAAAAAAAAGGGAAAACCCCAAAAAAAAAAATATTTTTCATATCATTCAATACTTTCCCCACACTAAACACATTATCACTGCTTTTGCAAAGGGGGTGCTCAGAATAAACATTTTCAGAACCCTATACACGTACGTATAAAGAAAACAAAAACATACCCCTTTCCAAACTGCAAATACCCCAAAACCCCCTTTTTAAAAGTGCGGGGCATTGTACTTCCCTTTCCGGGGCCTCAAGCCCGATTTATAGGGAAAAAAACCCGGTTTTCCCTGAACCCCTTTCACTAAATTTAAACCCTGCTCACACCCCAAACAGATCTTTGTATATGTGTATGTGTATGTTTTGTGTGTGTGTTATGTATATATATATTTTATAAAATATATATATTATAATATATATATATAAATATTTTTTTCTTTTTATATTATATTTATATATTTTAATATATAACTAACCCCACACATTTTGGTTTTTCCCCTTTTTTTAAAATAGCTTTTGTTTTTTTTTATTTTTTATTGTCCAGGGGGACGGGGAAAAAGAATCTTTCCCCCAAAACCCCTGGTGTCGTATGAGGGGGACAAAAATGGGGGGGGAAAATTTGGCTGGGAAACCCCCTTTTTCCTGTATACAATTACAAAAAAGAGAAAAAAGAAAAACTTTAAAAAAACTGGGTTGTTAAAATGTGCTTTGGGATGTAGTGCGGATGACAAAAAAACAGATAATTGTGATGTTTGAATGAAAAGAAGTTGGATGTCCGGGCCCCAAAGCGAAAAAAAGTTTAAGGGGGGAAAAAAGGGAGGGGGTTTTCAGGGGGGGGGGAAATAAATGGGTTTAAAATCTGGATTTATTGAGAGGGGTTAGAGAAAAGGGGGAAAGGGGGGTAGCAGTATGTTAAATGATCGGGTTATGGAAGGAGAAAAGGAAAAAGAATGTGTAAATTCAAAAATTTTATGTGGTTTAAAAAGTAAAGGTTGGATGGGGAGAAGGGGGGTCATAAAAAAGCGTGTTTTGCACCGGGAGAAGAGGGGAAATTTGCGAGGAGAGAGAGGGATTTTGGGGAGATGTTAAGTAAATGTATGGGGAGCTTTGAACCCAAGTGAGAGAGTAATTGTGGTAGGGGACTTGAATGCTAAATTTAGGAGAAACTTTTAGAGAGGGTGTGGTAGGTAAGTTTGGGGTGCCAGGTGAAAAATGATAATGGGAGCCCTTTGATTGAACTTTGTATGGGAAAGGGGTTTAGTTATGGGTTTAATACATATTTTAAAAAAAAAGAGGATAATAAGTTTTACACGATATGATGTAGGGCGAAAAAGACAGTAGTTTGTTGGATTATGAATTGGTAGATAAAAGACTGTTGAGTTTGACTTCAGGATGTACATGTTTATAAGGGGCCACAGATATATCAGATCACTTTCTAGTTGTAGCTACACTGAGAGTAAAAGGTAGATGGGATACAAGGGGAATAGAAGCATCAGGGAAGAGAGAGGTAAAGGTTTATAAACTAAAAGAGGAGGCAGTTAGGGTAAGATATAAACAGCTATTGGAGGATAGATGGGCTAATGAGAGCATAGGCAATGGGGTCGAAGAGGTATGGGGGAGGGTTTTTTAAAAAGTAGTGTTAGAGTGTTCAGCAGAAGTTTGTGGTTACAGGAAAGTGGGTGCAGGAGGGAAGAGGAGCGATTGGTGGAATGATGATGTAAAGAGAGTAGTAAGGGAGAAAAAGTTAGCATATGAGAAGTTTTTACAAAGTAGAAGTGATGCAAGGAGGAAGAGTATATGGAGAAAAAGAGAGAAGTTAAGAGAGTGGTGAAGCAATGTAAAAAGAGAGCAAATGAGAGAGGTGGGTGAGATGTTATCAACAATTTTGTTGAAAATAAGAAAAAGTTTTGGAGTGAGATTAACAAGTTAAGAAAGCCTAGAGAACAAATGGATTTGTCAGTTAAAAATAGGAGAGGAGAGTTATTAAATGGAGAGTTAGAGGTATTGGGAAGATGGAAGGAATATTTTGAGGAATTGTTAAATGTTGATGAAGATAGGGAAGCTGTGATTTCGTGTATAGGGCAAGGAGGAATAACATCTTGTAGGAGTGAGGAAGAGCCAGTTGTGAGTGTGGGGGAAGTTGTGAGGCAGTAGGTAAAATGAAAGGGGGTAAGGCAGCCGGGATTGATGGGATAAAGATAGAAATGTTTAAAAGCAGGTGGGGATATAGTTTTGGAGTGGTTGGTTGCAATTATTTAATAAATGTATGGAAGAGGGTAAGGTTCCTAGGGATTGGCAGAGAGCATGCATAGTTCCTTTGTATTAAAGGCAAAGGGGATAAAAGAGAGTGCAAAATTATAGGGGGATAAGTCTGTTGAGTGTACCTGGTAAAGTGTATGGTAGAGTTATAATTGAAAGAATTAAGAGTAAGACGGAGAATAGGATAGCAGATGAACAAGGAGGCTTTAGGAAAGGTAGGGGGTGTGTGGACCAGGTGTTTACAGTGAAACATATAAGTGAACAGTATTTAGATAAGGCTAAAGAGGTCTTTGTGGCATTTATGGATTTGGAAAGGCGTATGACAGGGTGGATAGGGGGGCAATGTGGCAGATGTTGCAAGTGTATGGTGTAGGAGGTAGGTTACTGAAAGCAGTGAAGAGTTTTACGAGGATAGTGAGGCTCAAGTTAGAGTATGTAGGAAAGAGGGAAATTTTTTCCCAGTAAAAGTAGGCCTTAGACAAGGATGTGTGATGTCACCGTGCTTGTTTAATATATTTATAGATGGGGTTGTAAGAGAAGTAAATGCGAGGGTCTTGGCAAGAGGCGTGGAGTTAAAAGATAAAGAATCACACACAAAGTGGGAGTTGTCACAGCTGCTCTTTGCTGATGACACTGTGCTCTTGGGAGATTCTGAAGAGAAGTTGCAGAGATTGGTGGATGAATTTGGTTAGGGTGTGCAAAAGAAGAAAATTAAAGGTGAATACAGGAAAGAGTAAGGTTATGAGGATAACAAAAAGATTAGGTGATGAAAGATTGAATATCAGATTGGAGGGAGAGAGTATGGAGGAGGTGAACGTATTCAGATATTTGGGAGTGGACGTGTCAGCGGATGGGTCTATGAAAGATGAGGTGAATCATAGAATTGATGAGGAAAAAGAGTGAGTGGTGCACTTAGGAGTCTCTGGAGACAAAGAACTTTGTCCTTGGAGGCCAAGAGGGGAATGTATGAGAGTATAGTTTTACCAACGCTCTTATATGGGTGTGAAGCGTGGGTGATGAATGTTGCAGCGAGGAGAAGGCTGGAGGCAGTGGAGATGTCATGTCTGAGGGCAATGTGTGGTGTGAATATAATGCAGAGAATTCGTAGTTTGGAAGTTAGGAGGAGGTGCGGGATTACCAAAACTGTTGTCCAGAGGGCTGAGGAAGGGTTGTTGAGGTGGTTCGGACATGTAGAGAGAATGGAGCGAAACAGAATGACTTCAAGAGTGTATCAGTCTGTAGTGGAAGGAAGGGGGGGGTAGGGGTCGGCCTAGGAAGGGTTGGAGGGAGGGGGTAAAGGAGGTTTTTGTGTGCGAGGGGCTTGGACTTCCAGCAGGCATCGTGAGCGTGTTTGATAGGAGTGAATGGAGCCCAAATGGTTTTTAATACTTGACGTGCTGTTGGAGTGTGAGCAAAGTAACATTTATGAAGGGATTCAGGGAAACCGGCAGGCCGGATTTGGGAGTCCGGGAGATGGGAAGTACAGTGCCTGCACTCTGAAGGAGGGGTGTTAAATGTTGCAGTTTAAAAACTGTAGTGTAAAGCACCCTTCTGGCAAGACAGTGATGGAGTGAATGAGGGTTTGAAAGTTTTTCTTTTTCGGGCCCCCCTGCCTTGGTGGGAATCGGCCCGGTGTGATAATAAAAATAATAATAATATATATATAATTTTATATATATATATATATACAGTGGACCCCCGCATAGCACCTTAATCCGTGCAAGAGGGCTGGCTGTTATGCGAAATGTTCGCTATGTGAATAAATTTTTTCCCCATAAGGAAATAATGGAAATAAAATTAATCCGTGCAAGACACCCAAAAGTATGAAAAAAAATTTTTTTTTACCACAAAAAAATTTTAAATTTTTTTAGTACACACAAACTGAAAAAGGCATGCACAATTACATGACACTTACTTTTTTTGAAG